GTAATATAGTATTTTTGGTGTTCCTTATTATACTTATTTTGGGGCCTTATAATAATTCCCTTTCCTGTCTTGGGGTTCCTTATTATGATTATTCATAGTATAGTATAGGGGCCTTCTAATAGTTACCTATAGTATTTTTGGTGTTCCTTATTATACTTAATTATGTATAGTATAACATACCCCAAAACCCGATTCTAATTATCAAGGCCCCTACATTATCCCATTCTTGTTTATCAAGTTCTCTCCATTTTTCTATGACATCGGATGAGGCATAAGAAGGAGTCGCACAGACAGTTTCGGGGTGGATTGCGTCAGGTCTGCATCGCTGTAAGCCCTAATTACAAGCCTAAGAATTAAACCTAAACCGTAAACCCTAAACCCTAAACCCTGTGGTACGGATTCTGCAGTTGGAAAAAGGAGCTCAACAAAAAACACCTAAACCCTAAACCCTAACAGAAGCTGCAAGCCCTTAGCCGGCAATGTTTCCAGGAGATGCAGCGGCGCTCTCTGCCAGCAGACGCCGTGCCCGGACTTGATTTGTTAAGGGCTTAAGATTTAGAGGTTTCGGGTTTGAGGTTTATGGTTTAGGGTTTAGGGTTTAGGGTTTAGGGTTTCGGGTTTGAGGTTTATGGTTTGGGGTTTCGGAGTTTAGGGTTCGGCGTTTAGGCTTAGGGCATTTCGTTGAGGCGGTGGTTCTCTGCTTGCTTTGCTGAGTCTACTCCGGATGTAAAGGGAATTGAGAAAGATTTCGGGTGAAGGCTCCACACTCTGTGTGTCTGGACGGTTGACGTGCGTGTGTGTGTATACATATGTGTGCCTGCATGATTGTCTGGTTTTGTATGTGTGCACACTGCACGCAGTTTCCTGCATGCATATTCTGACTGCTCGAGGAAGAAACTGAGCTAAGTCTGAACGAGTCAGCCTCAGCAATATGACCCTAAACCGTATGGGATCACATGTTCACAGCTGTTCGCATGCACTGCCTGGAACGTCACCCATGTGTCTCGTTCGAAGTGCCGGGGCTTTGCCCATGGCATCATACCCTCAGGGTGCAAGTAATCGCAATGTCGTATATACTTTGGGGCCCACATATCCACTAAGTAGCTCGTATATTGGGCTCTTGGGGCTCATTGGGATATAGCATCTCATGTAAGATAGCCGGCCTCGAACTCCCAGGTGTGCTACGGTGCAGCGATCACAGCGTGCGGCAGGGGAAGAGACTCTAGCATGTTGATATTTCAGTAGTTTAGGGTTTAGGGTTTAGGGTTTGATATTTCAATAGTTTGTTGATGTCGAGCGTAGATTGTGGAATCAGTGGACTTTGAAAGCCAGTGAATGGAAGCACAGAGCCCTGTGCCAATGCCTAGTTTGAGGTTTTCGGGTTTTTTTTTGCGAGGAGAGTCGCACAACAAGCTATTCCTTGCTGCTGCAGGTGCTGCTTCCGCTGTTGCTCCGCACATCCTGCGTCTTTTTCTGTTGATGCTGCTACTACGACGAACGACGACGACGACGACGACGACGACGACGACGACGACGACGACGACCTACTACCACTGACAGTACTCGTTATCATCATGTTCTTGTCCTGCTTGAGAGCTCTACTGTTGGGCAGGGCGAAAGGGCTTTCAGGTTATTTTGAAGCATGAATAGTTACCAACAAAATTCCTGAGGGTCTCTGACTACACGACTATATATAATAATACCAGAATACACCCAAAGCCCTGTTCAAATTCATTTGGCTCCCACAGTAGTAGTTCGGAAGATCGAGTGGTTGTAGCTCACGCTGTTGAGCTTTCGAACCAGTAGTAGTATTGGGGGCCTGAATGGTTAGTAGCCACATCTTTCGCAGTGCCCATGTACTTGCGTTTTACCAGCAGATCCTACTTTACTATCTATTTATTAGGGCCTAAACCCAGAGCCCGAAACAAACCCCTAAACCCTAAACCCTGAGCCCTAAACCCTAAACCCTAAACCCGAAGCCCCTGTTCAAAGATAGCCCTAAACCCTAAACCCTAAGCCCTAAGCATGTGAGATCGTGGCTCCTTTGCTGTGGCAGCGCCTCTGAAGGCTGAATCGGAAGACCACTCTACCCATAGGCCCCATAGTAGTTCAAACCCTAAACCCTAAATCCTAAACCCTAAACCCTAAATCCTAAACCCTAAACCCTAAATCCTATAAGGTAATCCTAAAAAGGAACGACTATGGGGCCT